AGGACGATGGAGCGGGGTATTCCAGCCTGGGCGTGTTGCCGCCCTTGATGTACTCGAGGACGGCCTCCAGCGTGCGGCCGGGCACGCCCCACCATCGGCGGCGGCCTTCAGAGTTGAGCCTCCCGGAGGGCACGACACCGTTGGTGGCCTCGAGCTGCTCGGCGTGGCGGCGACGGAAGTACGGCTCCCACAGCGGGCTATCGGGGACGTACCTTGGCCCTTCCCTCGCCGCATGCGGCAGAGAGGCGCGGATGCGCGTGATCTCCGCGCGCCACGCTGCCCCTGTGGGCGGTGGTGGCACCGGGACCCCGCCGCGCTGATCCTCCACGCCCCGGGCACCCACATGTCCGGCGGGACCGGGTACTCGGCCTCAAAGAGGAGCCGAGCTTCGTCCTCTAGAAGGTGGCGGCGGCCATAGCCGTTCGCGGCCGCGTCGTCGCCTGGGAAACGCTCGGCCATGGCTATGGAGACGGCGAGGGGAGAGGGAGGAACGGGGGAGGAGCGCCGTTGCACTGTCTGTGCGTTCACCGGCGCGCTGGGGGCGTCTTACATAGGTGGAGGCACCGCGCGTACGTGTGGCCGCCATGCGTACGCGTGGCAGGCGAGGGACGCGCATCGTCCGGTCTTCACTGCACCGCCCGTGAGGCATCAATGGAGGAGGCTGACCGGCGCGGCAGCGCTCGGCAGCTTTGGCATTGATTTGCTGTGGTAACCGAGGCGATGAGCACGACGAAGCGGCGAGAAGAGCCGAGTCGCTGCCAAGGAGGGCCCGCCGGTTTTCGCGCCAATAACGTTTCGGCTGGCGCCCCCAAGAGCCCCCCAGCGCGCCGGGTTCGGCCTGGGTCCGCCGGCGCCAATTTCGGTCCGAGACGGCGAAAAATGGGCCTTTGGGGGCGCGACTGGGTCGTTTTTTCGGCGCCAACGTGAAAAAAGCGTCTGGGAGGTCGTTCTGGGGGCGCGGCTGGAGATGCTCTAATAACGGTCATTTGGGGGTGCGGCGGTGCATCCAGAAATAAGAGAAGGAAGCTCCTACAAGCCTCCTTAGAGATCAGCGATTCTGGGCCGTTGGATCGGTCCTCTTGATGTATTTTCGTCCGTTGGATCAAGATCAGGAGGAACCTGGGCCGTTGGATCTGAGATGAACAGTGCTCGAATGAATAGTAGTGGCAGCAAAATGTAAATATCGTGCCCCCACCGGGGTATGTTGGTCATTTCGCGTATTGGGGGTATAAAAGGGGGGCGCTCCTGTCCAGAGACCTAGCCGCCTCCTCCCTCGC